CCGATAAAACAATTTATACATAAAAGATACTGCTGGAAATATAAATTTTAGAAAAAATAACCTGAATAATGGATTTGTTGTAAAGTAATGTCTCAGACAGTGTAAATTATTAAATCCCCTCCAACTTCTCTCTCCCCGGCAGTATAAATGGGTTCACCGCAGTTCATTGGCAAGTCACCTGTGGTGGAATACAGCAAAGTCCTCCCACCTCTTACAAGATGTCTCGCTGTGGTGGGAGAATGTCAAAATATCCTCTCGACACCTTGTCTGGAGCTCCTGCTAGTGGAGGCTTTTCTGCCGGCAGTGGCGTGAGGGATAATTACAGGGCCGCGCATATATTTTGATCTTTTATATTGCAAAAACTACTAATATGTTATGGTTAAGACGATTCTTGGATATGACATAACCAGAGTGGCTTCTACAAGTTAATATTCTAGCAGATGCTGGTCTGGTTAGATCTACAAATGCACCTTTGCTCTACTCATTGCTTCACATGTTTGTGTGAAGGAGGATATTTGCTCCAGATTTATATAGGCTCTTGTGATTGCCTCGTAATTACACGCTATTTACATCACATTGATGCCTTCACACTTAAAATAGGGTCCCCTTGTGCCGAATTAGTGGATACCCATAAATCTAGGAGTTTCTGAATAACGTTTATCAGACTGAATAAATTACCATCAGATGGGTGACCCTGGAAACAAGCTGTTAATTACCACGACATGCATAGTGGTTTCACTGAGAGACACACACTAACTCGGGAGGCAACACATTTATTCTATGGACCACAACGGGATGACGACATAAACCGGACAGGACAGTCCGCACACTGCCTGGCCCACTCTGCCGAGCACGAAGACGGAAGACCCAGGGGGCGACGCAGCACGGAGGACTCCACTCCAGCAGACAGCCCCGACCCAGCCTCAGGACCTCCCTTTTATGCCCCCCAGCGTGGCCTGGCTCCGCCCTCGGCCACGCCCCCTTCTGGAACCTACCAGAAGGTTCTGGGCCATAGCCCACGTGTCGCTTCTATCACCGTTGGCCCACATTCTTACCCTGGCCTATCACGTGCCCTTACCAGCCACCCGGGCTGCATCCCCTCGTGTTTGTGGGTTTTCTTTGAATACCCCTAGTGTCCTCCCACATGTCGATACCTCGATGTAAACTCATATTGGCCCATTTGCTCAGCGCAGAGCCCTCCTTGAAAAAGAGTGAGATTCTGTCTGGCTTTTTGGGGTAAATAATTAGCAGTGTTCTGAGTTGATGATATATTTTTTTCATTGTAGTTTGGCCATTATTGAATTCACAAAGCGCAGCACAGAGTTTTCTCATGGCTCGTATTGTGGTGTAGCAGTTAGTGTTATACGTTAACTGATATTGGTGAAGGGTGGGCACAGTGGTTTGCACAATGTACTATTTATTCAGATACCTAAGTTTGATTCAAGGCCATGGCTAACAGTGACGAGTGATATCTGAACTGGCCCCCTGAGCCTTCCCACCTACACCAACCCACACTTACTAACATGATGAAGTATGTTAGTCATGCCACGTTGACTAACGTTGACTAACGTGGCATGGGGAGGCCTTCATCCAGCAGTGGATTGACGAAGTGCTGTACATTTTTGTTGCTTGATATTGGCTGCATGTATATGGCATGAAATAGCAAGCTCTGGGCACGTGTTTGACTTGATACATTGAGACCTCTAAGCAAGCGATCCAAACCTCCAGACCCTATCCCACTCCAGCCCAATTTGCACACAATTGCTCTGATTCATTACGGTTATATACTGGGGGAACACAAGTAAATTACAATGGTGTAACTTCCGTTTAGGCTGACGTTTTAGTAGATTTGGCTACTCTATAATGAACATTTTCTATACATAAGTCAGGCAGAGGAATATTTCCACCTTTTTAAACCTCGTAACAAAAACAAATTGCGATAAGGAGTTTGCTGTTCATAAAAATAAGTGTGCAAGCCTGATCACGCGGTGCTTAATTTGCTTATCATCAGGAGATCAAAAACGACACGGCTCTGCGCTGCACTGGAAATCACCGCTGCACCTTCCGTCGTGTTGATGTTTCCCATTGTAGGGGTCACCCTCCACTTTGCAATTGTCCAGCGAACGCATCAGAATAACGGGTCTCCCGGCAGTGTGACGTGACTCACATCCAGCTCTGAGAAGTGCTTCTGCGTCCAAAAAGCATTTGCGCTTTTGCGTTTGGGACACTCACTGTTGGGAAACGCAATTACCTGCTCACGTTTAAGATGATTAATTTTTCACAGTTTAACTAAGCTTGTGCTTGCACCTGTTTGTTTGTTTGCCATGTATGTAAAGTTGCAAGTAAGGTAAAGGTAACACAGATAAAGGTACAGCGCTGCAATTGCTGCCCACAGCACTGCCGACAGAAGGGCCTCTACTCGAGGAGCCACTCTAAACGGTATATTGGCCTACTCTTCCATACTGCCCAGACAGCTTGGAAGTGGGTGGGATGACCCACACTTTGCCCCACCACAAGTGACCAGCCCGTCAACTAACAGCGGTCTATCCGTTTATAACCGTCAGAGGCGGGGGTAATTTAAGAAGGTTGCACCATTGTTTCAACTGGCGTGCTAGGAGATTCGAGTCGAACCGGTGACCTCTGGATTGCAAGTCCAGAGGTCGCACCATGACAACAAAGTATGAATGTGCGGCCATTGTATTCAGGTTTTCTATTGGCACAATTTTCTTAAAATAAACATATGTTTGTGTCTAGTTTGTTGTCCTTCCACCGTACCTCCGATTAGCACGGATGGCTATATACGGTGTGAAAGAAGTTCACCTTTCTACATCATGACTGCATGTAGGTAAATACTTTTTGATGGTGAGTAATTTTTTCCTGCTTGGAAAGTTATTAATTAAAAAGCTATTTATTGCGAAATAAATAATATCCCGTTATATCCAACAAATTATTGCGTATTTGGTCTCAACTGTTAGGTATGGGATCAAGTATACACGAGTGCTCATTAGGGCCTATGGTTGACTGTTGCAGGGAGAGCAGTCTTTGTGCGATTGGCCTCAAACACATCAAAGGTCCTGGGTGATGTTTTTCTACCAAGGAACATAGCATCACATACTACTCTGGGTATGCATAGTCAATCTCGTACATGTACACTTAATTGTAAGACCTTTGTTTTACAATATTTACAAGAAAAATATATTTTGACATGTTGTAAAAAATGTACATGTCATTTCACTCATTTGACATCGGAATTATCGCTTTTCTTTTTGGATAAATAATAATTTTATTAACAGTATTCATGCTGTCCTACCAAACAACTTTTTTATACAGTTGGAAAAGATCACAATTTACGTACGTTTCTATATAGATGTTCTCGTTACAAGGGGACATTTTAAAACTCTTTTGAGAAAACGAGTTGTGCAGTGTGTGGTCAATTTGCCTGGAATGTGCCCTATCACATCGTATCCTGTAAGCTAAGCTGAGTTTGAGCCTGGAGAGTGCTTGTATGAGCTATCACCACGCATTAAGCAGGAGTTCCTTGGCTACTTGCGGCGCTGTTAGAGCAGCAGGGGGAAGTGCATAAAACAATCCATCACAGTGCTGCACTTGCTGTATTGTCTACACTCAGTGCTGCACCAGGCTGCACTGTCTACACACACAGTGCTGCACTATGATGTATTGTCTACACAGTGTTGTACCAGGCTGCACTGTCTACACACACAGTGCTGCACTATGATGTATTGTCTACATTGTCGACATTTCCTCGCACCGTGAACAACCCGCACTGCGGGCAGGGGGATTGGTCCTCATCGAGCAATGGATAGTGGCCATGCTCCGTTGCTCACGTAAGGGAACGGTGGCAAGAGGAGACCACAACAACAACAACAAGGAAATATTTCCGTGTCCATTAGTTTGTACATCCAGTGATCCAGGCCAAGCAGCTGCTAGTGGAAAGTGGACGTTCCATTTAGCCACGCTTCAATGAATCCTGGTAATGCAACTGGAAAACATGGATTGTAATTATTGTACATTTATATGCAGATTGAGTCTTAAAAAGGGAAAATGGCAAAAATTCTCCGTCAAGCAAATGAGTAATGTAGGGTGTGATCAACAATGTTCCAAGCATTGAAAGACACAAACGCATGCGCGTGCGAGTTGCATTTTATTTTAAGCACCTCTCGTAGTAATGAGCTCCTGTTTCATTTGTGGCCAAAATTCGTCATTTAAAACAAACATAGCACGAGGTCACGATGCTCTTATTTGCGAAGAATTAGTAAAGAGATATAGAACTGCATTTTATCTTAAATTTTACGGGAAATTAGCTGATGTGTCGGATGCCTTCTGACAGAGGCACACGTTACAATCAGAAGCCTGGAAGCTCGTCCTTTTATCATCGAGAATAACTATGTCTGCCTTCCTGGCGAAGCTGACATCGCACCCTGTAAATGATGACAACTGCAAGAACAGACATTGTATATGCTATCGTATTTTATCTTAATTCTTGTATGTTTCACGACTGGTGCGGTGGTGTCAGACCTATGATCAAATCACCCAGAATGCACCCGATCTCATAAGACCTCGCAATCCAAGCCGGTCGGAGCTTGGAGAGTGCTCGGTGGGGTGGCCACCACGCGCAACAGATCGGTGCAGTAGGCGTTGTGTGCAGTAGAGGGCAGTATTCTATACTCTCCCTCACCTTCACCAAACCCTATTGACAAGCGCAGTGAAGTATGGTCAAATATCTCTCATGGCCCACATGGAATCTGGATGATGATGATAACCCCCGGTGGATTCAAATAAAGATGACAAACGAATGGTTATCGATGACGGGCGACGATCTGTGACGATCTCAACGACCGCGATTCGAACCCGCGACCTTCCTGTCACAAAAACTACGACCGCACCAGAGGCCCCCACGACGCCCACCTCTCGTTTCCCTCTCTCTCCACTCTCTTTGCTCTCTCACCTCTCTCCGCTCTCTCCACGCTCCGGCGCGACAGGTGGGGGAGATCCGGGCGCAGGCCGCCGAGTGGAAGGCCAACGTGACGGCCGAGCTGAAGGTGACGCGGCGGCGCCTGAGCGTGGAGATCCACGACAAGCTGCAGCGTGCCGCCTCCATCCGCAACCTGGAGCGGCGGCACCGGCTGGGCCCGCACGAGCCTCGCCGCCACTCCATGGACGTGCTGACGGCCGAGCGACGCACGCCCTCGCGCGCGTCCTTCCTGGCGCTCGCCAACAAGGCTGAATCCGTCGACCGGATCGTACCTCCCTCGGTGAGTCGAAGCTAAACTCTTTACGGATAACTATTTTTTATTTTACCAGGTAAAGGCCCACTGAGCTGTATGGCTCTTTTTCAGAAGCAGCCAAACACTGTCGACTGCGTGACGTTGGTTCTAAACGTGGAGGGGAAAACCGGAGAACCCAGAGAAGAATCTACTGGACCACAGGGAGAGAGACATGCAAACTCCAAAAATACAGCAGCAGGCATCAGGGTCGGAATCGTGCCCACGACCTCCTGTATACCAGGCGAGGGAGTCAACATCTCCGAGACACTGTGGCCCCCCCTACTCCCCGTACCACTGACACCCGAGCGATGCATCGGTCTTCTCGAGCGATGCCTCATTCTTCCCTGCTGGAGCGTCGGAGCCGCACGCCGGCGCTGCGGCTCGCAGCATCGGCCCTGAGCCAGTGAGGCAACCTCGTCCAGGAGGCCCCACGTTGGTTTGTTCCACTGTGGGGAAGCCGAGCCAGGCAGGCTGGTGTCGCTCGATGCAGTTGAGTGGGGAGTCGTGTCTAGACGGTGCAGTGAGATTAGGTAATGAAGAGAATATCCGCGTATAGAATCAGTGTGTGGTTGATAGTATTAATAACGACAATTAAGATTAAACGCAGTGAGCAACTGAGCTTTAATTCGATTGCAAATTGCAGTGAATTGATTCATTAATCAATACACACACTTGCATTTCCTGAATCAAGCATAGGCCAACACTGGGAATCTATTCTACCAACAATTTCACCCAATACCAATTCCCGTTCATGTTGCTGAGTAGACCTGTCCTATTGCAGAACGTAGCATTGACTCAGATTAGTTTAAGGAATTGATGGCTAAGCAGCTCCTAGCGATACGGTGTGGATTAAATAGATTCCCAGTTAAGGGGATGCAATGATAATTATCCCTGCCCGTCGCCTTGCTAGGCCTCGAGCCAGATTTGGAAGTCTTGTGCTGGCCCACATATCACGGTTTTGTTCCAGCTGAACCTGGCAGATATCCACTAGAAAATCACCTGTACCGTGAGGGCTCCTCGCTGGCTCAGCTCAGATCTGACAGTGAATCTGCCTTGACTCGAACGTGGGGGCTGGTGGATCAAGCCGAGATGGTTCTTGCAAAAGAGACCCTCTTGTTACAGCACGGTGCAATGCGCATGTAGGAAGCGGGACGCCAATTATGGTTCTTTGCAGTGCGAGTGTTTTCTCTGGGCATGTCTATTTTATTACTTATGCAAAGACACATCAAAGAGGACAACCAGTGCGGAGATGGAGCATTGAGATCAGTTCACGTGTAGGAGTCAAACTAAACTCAAACGGGTTTTATTTTACCAGGTAAGGCCCACTGAGCTACATAGCTTTTTTCAGAAGCGACCTGGCCACAAATAATAGCTGATACTCCTTAGTGGACAGAGGCAGGGGGATGCAAGAAACCAGCACAATTGTTTCAACGGCCGTGCCTGGAGGTCCAATCCAACCAGTGATCTCTGCATTCCAAGTGCAATGTGTTCACCACCACCCCTAACTAATTGCATACTGTCGTGTAAATGGAAGATCAATGGTTCAGGGAAGTACTTTGGCATCAGAGAGCCAGATAATCCAGTTCCATGCACCAACGCACAAGACTAGCGAATCCGTTTTCATATTCCGTCAATACTTGGCTTGACTTTGCAGGCTTGGCTTGCAGCTTCTACTTGTTTTTGTGCTCTTACACTGGCAATGAACAAGGGACGTGGGACACGCTGCCATGAAGAAGCCAATGGATGTGTGGCGCGCCAATCAATAATAAACATTTATCTGCACGGCTAGAAATGTCTTGGGTAACCCCACAAATACCGAGTGTATGCCTCGTTTAGTAACCTAATTGCATAAAAGGCAAAATTGGTTTAGAGATGTGGTCTGTTGGTCCCTTGGATAAGGGCACAGAAACATCTGGAGTCATTAACAAAAGCAATGCATTTTTGAGTGCTATTGGGGACCAAGAATAAAGCTCTGGGAGAGGAAAGGATTTTCTTTTTTTAGAATATCTTACAAAAAAATACATAAATTCACCTCTTTCATACATCATATCAAACGTGCCCACATTGGGAAGTGCCCTTGTCCATTGGTGGTGTTGGTCCACGTGCGGAAATAAAAAATGACTCAAATTAAGTGAACAAGAGAGCAGTCTCGAGTAGAGTTGACTTCTTCAATCTCATTTATTTTTTTATTCTCGTTTTCTGTGGATGTATCATTTACACTGCATTGTATTTGAGCATCGTAATTGGTCCGTAATCACTTCCTTACACTGAGTGATTATCTTGCTATTACCTTAATCACTCCTTTGTTCTGGTGCCTCGGGACGGGCTGCATGAAAGGCAACGTATAAATAATAGATGACAACGATAATCAAATATCTGTGGCATGGAGCAGTCTCGCTGTACAGCAACCAGAGCTGGCGTCCCAGTGAGCGGCGGTGCGTGCATGCTCCACAGGGTGGATGAACTCTCGCCCGGAGGATGAACTTGGCGCAATGCCACTTGGCGAGATTCTCTAATTCGTGAATCCCACATTGAAACCTTCAGCGTAAGAACACCTCCATTTTATTTAAACGAATATTGTAACTGCAATGCGCTCGTTTGGAACTATACATTATTTTTAGAAGGCAATATTGTTTTGCACAGCCCTTGGTCAATCCACTGCTGGATGAGAGCTTTCCCACACCATGAGTCTTCAAGTTGTATACAGGTTGAAGACTTCCTCCCATATATGTTTGGTACACTTGTAGATTTGTTTACGTGTCTTCAATCGCATGAACGTGAATGGCTGTGCGCCCTGCGGAGCAGTCCACAATAATGGGCTTGCTCCCCTGCCTGTGTGTGTCTGTCTGCGTGCTGTGTGTGTGTGCGTGCTATGTGTGTGTGTGTGCTATGTGTGTGTGCGTGCTATGTGTGTGTCTCTGTGCGTGCTATGTGTTCTATGTGTGCTATGTGTGTGTCTGTGTGCGTGCTATGTGTGTGTGTGTGCGTGTGTACGCGTGCTATCTGTGCTATGTGTGTGTGCGTACTATGTGTGTTATTTGTGTGTCTGTCTGCGTGCTATGTGTGCTATGTGTGTCTGTCTACGCATGCTATCTGTGCTATGTGTGTGCTATGTGTGTTATTTGTGTGTCTGCATGCTATGTGTGTGTGCGTACTGTGTGTGCTATGTGTGTGTCTGTCTGCGTGCTATAGGGAGCAGTAGTGTAGCGGTTAGCGTGCTGTGCTAAAATCCCAGCAATCCGAGTTCGATTCCTGCTCACGGCCACCAACACCAGTAACGAATATCTGAACTCGTCCTGGGCCTCCCCTAGGTTGACTCAACCTCAAATGAGTACCTGGTTCGGTGTGTAAACATTGCCACTAGGGCGACAAAGGTGGCCGGGCGTGGTGATGACCACCCACCCCCTCGCTGGCCGTGCCGGCCTTCATAGGTGCTCGCTAACAGCACTTGCCCCAAAAGTCTGTTAAGGCTATATGGAGGATCGTTGTCTTTGCCTTGTACAGGAGCTACAGAATGGCGAGGTGCTGCATAAGCCGGCGTCGGGAGAGTCGGTTAACTTCGCCGAGAGCTGCAACGCAGGAGGGAGCGGAGGCAGCATGGGCAGCGGCGACATGAAGCCGTACAGCATCAGGTCGGCGTTCTCACGACGCAGCGATCACCGCGGCATCCTGAAGCATACCCGGTGGCAACTGCAGCAGCAGCAGCAACACCAGCAGCAGCAGCAGCTGCAGCAACAGCAGCAACACCAGCAGCAGCAACAGCAGCAGCAGCAGCAGAGGAATCAGCAGCAGCAAAGTCAGCGTAATGTGGACAACAGTTTAGAGAGGGAGAGCGATAGTCAGCAACAGCTGGAGAAACAGCCGACGCCAGACACTGCGCATGGATCCTGCGACAGCTTTGGGATTGGAAACAGCCAGGCCCATGCTGATGCTGTCAACCAGGGATGATGAAGCCACACGTGCATTTGGACAACAACAAAATCAAAACGATACAATGGAAGCATTGAGGATTGTGACACCCAGCTTTGACGACTTGCTTGAGGCTAAAAAACAATTGTGGTGGCTTCTTGAAGCGATGACGATGACCAAACTGCAAATCGTAAAATGTGCCCGGAAAGTGCAAATGAGAAGAATAGAAACGTTTAGTTGCAAGGGTGGCATGTTATCTTGCCAAAGCATCGTTTAAATCGGGAACGTATGTTCCACTGAAGACTCATCAAATTGAATACATTTGATTTTTTTTTCAAACGCCTCCTAACGCGAATAAAAATGCCGCTATGCACAATGGCAAAAACCCTGAAGAGTTTTAAATAGGTAGACAAGCGAGGACTTTGCTAATACCTACACCGAATGGTGAATGGGAGAAAATTTGCCAAAATACTATGATACATTTTTAAATAAATAATATGAAATGAGCATGTCAGCATTGTGCCTCCATGCTGCGTACGAGGTCAACTGTTTGTCTTCAGTTATGAAAATGTGTCGTGTCGTTATCTGGACAACTGGAATATGTTGTAATCCATTATTCAAATATATGTTGAACAAATATTGTGCCTGCTTACAAAACAATGAGATTTAAACATGTATGTCAAAAATATACTTATTTTATTATAAACCCCTGTGTCAATAAATAATCGTGAACCAAATCAAATGTAGGCTGCCTCTGAGCTCCTTACTGGGCCTCATGGAAGGGAGCGGAGTAGCCCTGCAACCGCACTCCGTGCCACTGCTGGTGTGGGGCATCCGCCAGAGGCAACGCTTGGGACTCGCCGCTCCCCCAGTGTATTTTGCCTACTCTTCCATGCATCGCAAGCGTCTTGGGAGAGGTGAGAGTAACCGCACTTTACCCCACTACACGCGACCAGCCGATGGACTGTGGTGAACCCATTTACACTGCTGCTGGGGCCGGGGGGAGGAGTTGTTTCTGAAACGTACTCATTGGTGTGCTGGAAAAGAGGCATTTCAGAAGGAAAACGTTAAACATTGACGTCCTTTGCTTCGTAATATGAAGCAGAGCAGAACACACATACTCTTTGGTTCTTTCGGTAAAGTCACGTAGGTATAAAATAAAATAAATCACGACGTTTCGGTCGCAACACAAGCATCCGTCATCAGGTGAGAAAGCATTTATTTTATTTTATACCTATGTGACTTTACCGAAGGAACCAAAGAGTATGGATTCCTGCAGTCACGAAAGCTTAAAATCAAGACAGAACACACATCTCAAAGTTTAACTGTCATCCATTTATGCAAGGAGAAGGCTAAATCTGGAATCAGAGACATTTTCATGAGATGACCTGCAAGATTATTTTAGTGGCTACCTTACTTTTTAAATCTAAAATAGCTATAAATCTTATTGAAAACTCAAGAAGCCTTGTGCAATTCCTTCATCGATCTTTCAGGTACTTAAATGAATTTGGGTCACAAAGACCACAACTGATGTAGGTGCACGCCTAGGCGCTTTGTTCCTGGGAGCGGGACATCCGTACGAAGCTTTGTGAATGGAGTAAGAGGGCTGCTGCCACGGTGTAATGGATAGCAGTACACCGTGCACTTGCAATGCAGAGGTCGCCAGATTATTTCGATCTCCAGGCACGGCACTGGAAACAAATTGATACATTTTGTAATTCCCCCCAAATCTTTGCCCCAAACGGTACAAATGGGTAAACATCACAGTTGATCGGCAGGTCGCGTGTGGTGGGGTAAAGTGTGAGTACTCCCACCTCTCCCAGGCCGTCTGTCCAGCGTGGCTGAGTAGGCCAAATAGCACCTGGAGAGGCTCTGTAAAGTTCCCTCGAATGGGGAGATCTGACCGCTAGCGGTGGCATGAGCAAGCAATTGCAGGACTGCACCTTTATCTGATGAGAAGAAAATACTTTCGTCTGGAGCACACTGAACTGATGTCTGCAGCATCACCTCTCGAACGTCGCTGCATACTGTCACTGCGGTGACTGTGGCTGCAATGCTTACTTTCTCAAAATAGAGCGTTGGACTCTTGCCAGAGAGCCTGTGGCTCATAGCCTAAGCGTGTATCTATAAGGAAGAGTGCACTTGTTTCCCGTGTTGAAACTTCATTTAAATGTAGTTCTTCTAACATCTTGTCGAATACGGTATTTTCTTCATTGAGGAGAACTAGCAAGAGTCATCATCCTGCAGAGTGGCCAACCAAAATCGGCAATGCACCACGCACATTAAATAGTTTTTTCCCCCCTGGGAGAGATAGGTCGCCGTGAATTTGGTCGTATTTTTTTCCAAACGCTCATTAATTATGTTCACAAAGACACAGCCCGGGTTGTCATTTATGAGTAGATACACTCAGGCTTGTGATTATCAGGGGAAGTCGCCGCCGCCGTTGCTCACATTGTTAATGTATTTCGCCTCTACAATTAATTTCACTTTGGAGCCACTCCAATGTTTACCGTGTGGGTTATCAATCATCACGTTGTCTGGACAAGCCGTGACCACACACCAGTTTCCTGGAAAACGACCCACGCACATCCTAAAACCACAATTGTAAAGCATGCCATTTACAATCATTAATTCAAGTTCATTTAAACAAAAATGTGAGTTACATTGATCCACTGCAGAGTTAAAATAATGTGAAGGATGGATTTTGGACCTGACAGAATGTGTGGGGAGCAGGTTGCTTTTCTGAGAGACACCACCTGTGCCCATAATGCACCTCTGTGTACCACGAAACAAATGTTGTGGTTTAATTAAATGAACGCATTCTGTATTACCTGGATTATAAGACGAATATAGTATCCCTGTCTTTTAGTTGGGGGATACATCTTATAATCCAAAGAATACACGCACCTTCGAGCAGATGTGTTTTAATATAGTTGCTCAGAATCGTTTGCCAGAAGACGGTTCTCCCCAGAAAAACATCACCACCTCGAGGGCAGAAGACCAACCACACGCAGAATCATTTTCCAGAAGCCATTTTAAAGCAGCTCATTCAGAATGATCTTCTGGAAGACGGCACTCCATTGCAATACCGTATTTTCCTGATAATTAAACGCACTTTTTTTTGTTCAAAATAACCCCACAGTTTGGAGTGCATCTTGGTGTGTGCATCTCACTACTCTCCGGTGCGTTTTATAATCCAAAGAATGCGGTACGTGCAAAAAACATTCCAGTTTAAAATTGTAGGGCATTTGCCATAGCAAGCCAGTCCACACTGGTCACGTGTGTGGTTGTTTGTTGCTCTAAATGTCTCGGTGTTTTCCACTCAGTAATACAACAAACGGAAAGTTGCGTTTTGATGTACGTGCGGCCCACTGGAGGATTTTCATAATATTGGGATCTTAAAATACAATTTCAGCACTGCTGAAAACCCATCAGCCGAGTCCAACCAAGGTGGTGGAGCAATGCAAAAGTGTTTATTATGTTAATGGCCGCCAGGCTGAATGCGCCCTAGGGTGGAGTGAAGCGCTTTGGAGAAGAGATACAGGACAAGGTACAACGTCGCTTATCTGACTTGATGGACACCAATGTCTAGGAAGATATGTGTGTCGAATTTGTGAATATTGGCAGACAATTATTTGTTATTCCATGCACAGATATTGAATTGCGTGTGGGCGGTTAAATGGTCAGGGCGGATATGTGATGGTCAGATATGTGACACTGTAATAGGAGGCTGCTGTAAATTTTAAGAAAATAGGTTTTATTTTTGTTATTGAAGGAACAAAAATATTGATACAGCAAACATTTAAACCAAAATACAAATAGAAAAGTACGTATTTAAATTAATTACCCGGTGATTATTTTCCAAAGAATCTGCATCGCATGTATCCAGTGTAGCGTTCAACGTTTGTGAGCTTTCTATTCGTTTCACTTGCGCTCTCTTGGATGCACTCTGCTTGACCACATTCACCAATACTTGCAAAGCTCATCTCATGTTCTGTGCATAAGCGTTTGACCAGAAAGACACTCCTGGAGTTGGACCACCTGGACGCACAGCCCAATTATAATAATAATCAACGCCGATTGGCCGGAGAATGATTCAAATTGTGTGGCAGCAGTCCATCTCTACGAACGGCTTACTCAGCGAATGTAAATGTATTTCTAGTTGCCTTTTGCATCTGGGTAGAGAATAACTCTGTGCTGTGTGACTCCGTAAAGCAGGGACAGCAAGGTTAGAGTTTGGTGATGCTGGCCTGAGTGGAAGAAGTGAGGCTCCTAAAGTTGTATTCGAGTGACTTGCCTATGAATGAAATCTGCCGGAATGCCGCCCGATCTCGTCAGGTTTCAGAAGCTAAACAGGTTTGAGCCTGGATGGATAACCACTATGCATACCAGGTAATATAGACTGTGGGGATACATAACGGGCAGTAGAGGATACTGCAACAAAATACATTGTTGTACTGTACTTCTGTGCTTCCACATCTATGCTCCACGCCCTGACCAACCCGCACCGGCCAGCGGGGTGAAGTATGATCAAATAACCCCCCATGACTCGCTTGGCAAGAGGAAGCGCCCTCATCCAGTCGTGGATCGACAAAGGGCTGTACATGTCCGAGTGACCGATTCTAAAATCATTAATACTGATGATTTTGACATGAAAATGTGATAAATGTGCGTTATAAGTCATGGTATAATTATATTCTTGCTTTTTATACATGTGTTGAGTGCCTCATTTTAATGGGAGGGGACGTGGTTTGGGAAGGATGCTGTACACTTTAAAACACTTTTATGCAAGTGTAAGGACTCATTTCCACGTTAGCATAACATCACGATGCTGCAGAGACCGTTGGACCAAAACTCTTGCCACAACCATTGCCAGGCATTGCTCGGGGCAACGCACGGTTGGACTGGGTCAGCAGGCCACCAAAGCATTTGCCCAGTTTTTCAGTTCTGGAGTGGTTGGCCACCACTCGCAGTTTCACAGCCCAAATAAAAGCTCCACTTCAATCGGCTGAAGAATGAATTGTTCACATTGGGTCGAGCGCGTGGCGAGCCCAACTCCAGGACCGGCTTTAGCTTGGCACATGTAAACGAAGCTTAATTTTTCTTTTGCATCGAGATAAATAGGTACGAGAAAATGTGAATTATGGTCGATAAAGCTCCCATGATCGTCGTGGTGTTAGATTGGCCTTCATCCAGCTGTGGCTTTAAAAAGGGCTATACTTTACACATATAGATGTGTTTGATCATCTAAAACGGACACCTGAGTGGAAGTGGAAGTGGATGGATGTTGGCCCAAGCCCATAGGATTGTCTTTGGTCTTTGACATTTCAGATACCATCTCATATATAGCCAATAAAGAGTAAGTGTGGTTGTATATAATTGAAATTTTATTTATTTAACAACTTAAGCAAAAAAACATGGAGATGTCTAAAGCACATCACTCTGCTGTCTCAAACTGTCGTTTGTAACTTCTACTCGGTTGTGCTGTATAGTTGTGTTGATGTGGTTTTGGGTTGTACCCTGTGCAGTTTGGCTTGATGTCTGACGTTTCCCTCCGCGTTTTGAGAGCTTTAGGAACTCGGCACGTGGAGCGAAACGGTCAAAATTGTGCCAAACAGCACACGCATTGGAGAGCTGCCATTCAGAATGATTCCTGGGTAGTGAACTGCATCTCTAGGTTTGGAAGGAAGAGGGGAGTACTAAGCTCTATTCCAAATCCCCTTGTGTAATGTTCGTGAACAGCACTGCTTAACATGAGTAAAGTCAACCATTAACAACAACTCGATCTCTTGGTTGCACCCACGTGATTAAGAGGGGGGGGGGCAGGTGGCTTTCTGACTGCCAATGAGAGGGAAGGAGGATGAGAGGGTGTGGGGAGAGGGTCGAGGCAATGCTCCACCTTTCTTGGTCACATTAAATAGGACAACACACTCATTCATGTGTAAGTGATGGCTGTAGCTGAGGTCAGAGGGCAACTAGGGATGCGAATTTAACATGCAAATCCCCAGCTCAAAGTTTTTATTAATGAAAAACATCCATTAATTATCAAGGAAATACAGTAATATGTACATTTAAACTCAGTTATATTAACTGTAAAAAACGTGGTACCATAATATTTACAAACTCTACATTTTTCGAGCGTGAT